CAGGGAGGAGCCGGGGATCGAACCTTCCGATTGGGGGACGACCCGCTCTACCTCTGAGCCACAGCCGCCCCAGCTAGGGTAGGGAAGTCAGAAAGTAAGGCAGGTTGTGTTGTTGATAAATGGTAATATACTATGTGATTTAGGCTGATTATGTGTCTTTCTGTATGACAGTAATGCACAGCAGATTTGATCTGGTAGCTCTACTGTTAGCCTTGGGAGGGCTGCAGACAGCCTGGGAAATTCTGGGCAGATACCAATGTTGGACGATAGTGATGTTTTTTTGTTACTATTTATTTGCCCTTTTGTGCCAGTTTTCAATGACGACTTTCCGCATGGTTCTGTGTAACAAACCATCTGGTTTAGTCAGGTTAGGACAGATGGTGGTCGGTTAAATATTAAGAAGTTTGTTGACTTATGTTTTTGTATCTATATACTGGACATACAGAAATTAAGCTGTTATCTGTTCATCTGACAAAAAGATGCAATGCTCCTTTAAGAGGTTGCCTGATTGTCATCACTAAGCCACCATGCTGGATTAAGATCCTAATGGTAAAATATTTTTGTCACATTGTAATGATAGCCTAATGAAACACAAATAGAAATAATTTTATCCCGTTGAGAATGGGGCTCAACATGCTACAGTCTGCGGTGAAGTTACCTGTGATGCCCCAGCCAGTGATCACACAGGCAGCAGGCCTCTTCTCCCACTTGTTACCTGGCTCTGGCAGACACACTGCACCAGTGTGAGGGTTAAATGCCACACAGTTGCCCTCTGTGCCTTTGAGCCGCAGCAGGGCAATGTCGTACTCCCAGCCCTGACTATGGTACTTTCTGTGGATAACAATGCGTTCGGGGGACAAAGTGCGTTCAAAGTCATCCTGCTCTTCAGTGTGGTAGTCACCCAGGCGCAACACGTAGCGGGTTGGGTCTCTGCCAAATCTGAATGGAAAGAGAGACAGTATATATGACATGCATAACCCACAAAGTAGCGCTACTGCTGCTCAGGAGGATTTTCTTTATATTTTCTTTTTTCAAAATATTTTTTTTTGCTTCATATCAATTTAAACTACCCCTTCATATGCAGTTAAGACAATCTGAGTTTGATACCTGTTATTTAAGGTAAAAATGACCAAAATAAAAACATTAAAGGTAAGTTAAGTAGATTAGAGTAGAGTAGATTGGATTTCTAATTACGCATGCATTTTTGAGTGACCCATTGGCTACTTGAACTTTATATTTGGTTGTGTGTGTGTGAAATTTGCCAGGATTTTTTTTTTTTAAGTTTAAAAAAAAATAAAAGTACAGGTTAAGCAATGCAACTAAAGAAGTTGATCAGATTCAATCAAGATGTCCATTGTGGTCACATTATGTGGTAACAATTAAAAACATAAATGTTACATTAATATTAATACATGAAGAATTAATCACAGCTGGAAAAGGACTATGTGACATCAATGTGTATTTTTGAGCTGTGTACTGTTTCTAATGATAATAGGCGACCATTAGAGGGAGCTGTCTCCTACCTCTTGAAGCAGTGGGCAGCAGTCACAACCCAACAGGGGTTGATGAGTGAGGCTCCACACAGAGGATGGTTGCCTTTAGACTGAGACCTGAGCCACAGAGACACCTGCCAGGGCCACTCACCCCTGAAATCACACGCACACACATAGGTCACAGCTTTCAGGAGGCTGCTGCTGCTGAAACAACTGCACAGTTTCACATGTCTGGACAACTGCACACACAGTAATTACACTGTATAACTACTGTAACAGCACCTGTGTTGGGTGGAGATCCATGGCTGTACAGGGGCTTAAAGACACAGTAAATCAAACTCAGCTCTGCTATTTGTAAGTGTGTGTGAATATGCATACATTCCTTTGGATTCCAAGTGTTGTGTGCGTATACTAACCTCAGTGACTTATCTCCTCCTATGATCCTGCGTCGACGACGCTGGTTATTGAGTCTCAAGCCACAGGTCTGCATTGCTATGGCGCCGTCTCCCACAGGATCCAGAGTGTAATCACAGATGACACCTGCATCCTCACTGTGGCGGCAGTCGTGGCTGTCTTGGCCCACAGCTGGACACTGGCCTAAGGACGTCTCAGTGCCTAAGCATCGAACGTTGTCAAGATGGATGGGACCTCGACCCTCGCCAAAGTACGCCATGGATCGGGCTTTTGCCACACCACTGGGAAGACAGCACACAAAGACACAGCATCATTAATTTTTTTTCCTTTTTTCGAAGAAAAGTTAAGGGATCACCAAAGTTGTTATAATTCAACCTGTGTGTACCAAATTTGATGGCAAGCCATCCAATATTTGTCATTTCATGCACCACCAAAAAGGTCAACTTGCTTCTAGTTCTAAACGGAGAGGATCATCAAAGTCTTCGGGATCCATCCTCTGGGGATCACGAATGTCTGTACAAAATTTCACGGCAATCAATACAGTAGTTGTTGAGATAATTTAGTCTGGACCAAAGTGGTCAACCAACAATGGATTTCCATGAAATGTTCAGAGCACTTTCATGCTCCCAGGAGGATAAACCCTTTCCATTTTAGACAACAGTTTTTGTCAAGCTTTCTTAGGCCAATATATCAGAGAAGGTGTAATAATACTAACATGAACCCCAGCTGTCTGCAAACCACAGCTGCATTGACATCATTCCAGCCATCATCACACACACTTCCCCACTGGCCGTTAATAAAGACCTCCACTCTACCCTCCTTCCTGGTCTCTCCAGCAACCAAACGCACCAGAGGGCCTGCAAACACACAGGAGAAAACATGGGATTACTGTGTAGTTGATGAGAATTATTCATGCCCTGAGGTTTTCAGGTGCTAGCAAGTTTTGACATATCCTGAGGTATGTTGGCCTTTACAAAGATAATTCACACTAATCTCATAAGCAGGCCTTAGCCACTAATGTGTGTGCTTACCAATATGAGGCATCAGGCCTGGTATCTCATTGGCATCACCCCCTCTCTGACAGCGGACACCTACATCCTCACTGTGAGAGCAGTCATGTTGGCCCCACTTAGAGTGGGTGCAGTCCAGTAAAGTGGCTTCTGTTCCCTGACACTGCACCTCGTCCAGCAGGATTAGCCCGTGAACTTCTTCATACACCCTGTCAGGAGCCACCTCTGCTCGGCCCCTGCAGACAGAAACAATCACAGAACATCTATGGCTGTATGGACAGTCATTTTGACAACATCACCAAAACTCTGGTGAATGTGAGGAACACTTCTGTACAAAGGCTTGCTAAATCTTAATTTAATTTGCAGAATGACCCATCTGTAACTACAGAAACAGTATAATTTCCTATAAGGATTTTCTCTAGAATTTGAAAGTTTGAGATAACTTCTGTTATGAAT